GAAATGGTACAATTGAAACAGCAAAAACAACAACAACCAAACCCCCGGGTCCACCCGGGCCCTCCCCTTGGCCCCAAAGGAACAATACTCAGGGCAGGTCGTGACCACTCCCTCCCCTCCTCTGGAAAAAGAATGTTGGTCTTACCGGAACGTGTCTTGAAAGAGGGGGGGAGGGAGGGGTCACGACCCGCCCTGAGTTGTGTTCCGTTGGGGCCAAGGGGAGGGCCCGGGTGGTCCCGGGGGTTTGGTTGTTTTTTTGTTGTTGTTTCAGTTATACCGTTTGACTTCGAGGAAACTGGGTTAGGACTGGAAAGCACCAATATTTAAGAGTTTGCTCTCAGTCTTTGGACCAATCAGGCTTTGAGAATATCCACATGTGACCACTCCCTTCCTCTTAAAAGACACGTTCAGGTAAGACCAACATTCTTTTCATGCAGGGTGTAACAACTAGAAAAAAGGAGTTATTTTTGCAATTCTCAGCCTAGAAAAATATATTGAGAAGCATATGAGGGCATTGTATGTACAATGGGCATTGTATTTTCCTTCATCCCTCCCCAGAGCAACTCAATCTTCCTTTTTGCACATTTTCTACTTAGCTACATAAGAAGCTAGGTTTTATGACCATAGTAAAGAAAAAAATAATGTCCTGAATCAAGATTGGTTTATCATTTCAGTAAAATTGCTCATATAATTTAATTACATAGGAGAATGAGATTTTGACAGAACAGGAAGAACTATTAACAATGGAACAGTTTTTACGTCGACAAATTGCATCTGAAAAGGAGGAAATAGATCGTCTCCGAGAAGAAATAGCAGAAATTCAAAGGTAACCCAGCTTCTGTTTGAGGTTTAACTGGTGGGTGGAAATTGCAAGTCAGCTAATTCCAGTTAAACATTAGAAGAAATTGTTTCTTACAGAATAGGCTCTGGCTGGTAGTGACTGCCTAAGGAAGTGGTGGATTCTCCTTTCTTGAAACTGACTAAAACTGAACTTGGAAAGTTATTTTTTAGGGAATGTTGCAGCATAGCCTTTTCCATCTTGCCACCTTTCACATATATTGGGATTGGAAGTCTAAGGCCAAGGTCCTTTTGTGTGGAAGTTCTAAGAGTCGTAGTAGCACCAATAATATCTGCAGGATATCCAGTTGGTGAAAGTTATTACAGTGGTATATTACTGAAAGGAACCAGGACTTAGACTAAATGGTCTCCATAGTCCTTTCCAGCCAAAATTCTTCGATGCTAAACTTACTGAATATAAATAATATTTTAAACATTGTTTCACCAGAAAAGTTACAATGGATGAACTTTTATGCCACATTGTAATTCTTCTCCATGAGCATTTAAATTCATTAAATTGTGTTTTGGAGTATATTCATTGTATGTGCATGAATGTGCTTGAAAAATGTATAGCAAACCAAGGCAAAAGTGATAGATGTCACAAAATTTTCACTTGCACATCTAGTCGCCAGCATGGTCGCAGTGAAACCGAAGAATATTCTTCTGAGAGTGAGAGTGAGAGTGAAGATGAAGAAGAGTTACAGATAATCTTAGAAGATTTGCAACGGCAGAATGAAGAACTAGAGGTGAGATGGCTTCTTGTGCAGTAGATATTCACTGAGTTCTTTATTCAGGAGTAGGAAAATATGATGAAACATATGACAAAAAAGAATTTTTTTGTAATATTAGAAGTTATTTAACTATGGAATAGCATAGTTTAGAAAGTAGCAGATCCTCCTTTTTTAAGAGGTAATCTACCGGATGCTGTTCTTTGTCACTGGGTTGGATTAGATGAGTTTTGTGGCAAATTTCCTTATTTATTGTTCTGTGACCAGTGTGTGGTAGAGAACATAATATTTTCCAGTAGACTCGAGGGAGGGGCTACACATGGGATATTCCGAAAGCCTGATTGGTCCAAAGACAGAGGGAAATTTCTTTTAACCTCTTCTTTTCCCTGTTGGCTCCCAGTTCCTCTCAGTCTTTGATCCAAACAACTGCTTTGGTTCCCAGTGTATCATTGAGAGAAATAGGTAAATTTATTAATCATTCTATTCGATCCATTGGGCATTCTAAATTCCAAAGAAAGCTGCTGCCTCGCAGGGACAGGGTCCTCCATCTCGCAGCGCGTCAAGGGAGAGCTAATTGGCTCTTTCGCGCACTTGTGGCACCGGGAGCTCCGACCGATCCCTGGAACTACGGGGATGTCGGGCTCCTTCCAGTAGCTCCGCAGGTGAGACAGCAAAGTGGAAAGCGGCAGTTGGGCTAGCAGCGGTATTTCCATCTTATCTCAGCCGCGCACCCATCAATTGAGCTGCAGCTATTCAAACAAGCTTCGGCGAAGAGAAAGAAAACATTTAAACTGCGTAAGGAGCCTCCGGCGGCCATTTTGGACACTAATTGTGCCTGATTGCATCGTGGCCAGTGTCGGGCCGGCAGTTTGTTCTCCGGCAGTCTGCCCTTCACCACAAGGTCTTTCGGGTGTTCCCACCCCCCCTGGGATCCAAATTGTTCCCGCCTGATGTCCCAAGCCATACAACACCTGCTAGACATTCAGGCGATGGAACCAGTCCCGGAGACGGAACACAGGTTGGGACACTTTTCCAATATGTTCGTTGTCCCGAAGAACTCGGGGGGATGGAGAACCATTCTGGATCTCAAATGCCTAAACCAATTTCTAGTATACAGGCGCTTCAAAATGTCCTCCCTCGGATCTATTCTTCAGGGAATCAGGCGGGGGGGGGGGGAGATTACCTAGCATCAGTGGATCTAACGGAGGTGTACCTCCACATCCTGATCCTGCCCGCCCATCGCAGTTACCTTCGGTTCTTCCACAAGGGACGCCACTTCCAATACAGGGATCTCCCCTTCAGCCTAGTCTCAGCACCGCGCACGTTCACGAAGGTTTTGGCTGCTCACCTCCACTCTGCTCCGGTGAGACTCCACTGCTACCTACACGACGTGCTTGTGCAGGCCGACTCGCATGCACAGGCAGTCCTCAATCTCCGCCTGACCATCCAGACCTTGCAGTCCCTGGGGTTTTCTATCAACTTCCCCAAGAGTCATCTCTCCCCCTTGACAAAGATTCTTCATCTGGGGGCGGTGATAGACTCAGTTGTAGGCCTAGTTTGACTTTCTCCAGAACGTCTCGTCATCCTCCAGTCATTGGCATGGCAGGTATGCGCAAGAAGGTCAGCTTCCATCCTGACTTTGGCCTGCTTATGGGCAAGATGGTGTCATGCATAGGGATCATGCCTTGGGCTCGTCTCTACTCCCGAACCTTGCAATGGGCCCTCATCCCATTCCAATGGAAGCACATGAGCAATTCCCTGCGGCTCACCCACCTGATAGCAGATGTACGCCTGCCAATGAAGTGGTCGCTGTCTCTGGCTCTACGACACAGGTCCCAAATTTGGGAGCCAGATCGCATAACCATTACCACGGACACGAGCTTATTCAGTTGGGGGGCCCTAATGAAATCCAGGTTGGTGCAGAGGCATTGGACTGTGTCGGATCTGTGCCACAATATAAATTGGCTGGAACTGAAGGCGGCCCGCCTGGCGCTCCAACAGTTCAAGGACTCGGTCATAAGCCGTCATGTTCTTCTTTTGACAAAAAATGTGGCCACAAAGACCCAAATTAATTGTCAGGGTGGGACTCACTCCAGAGCCTCTGGCTGGAAGCACTGAAGCTCGGTTCTTGGACAGAGACACATTTGGCGTCACTGGTGTCGGAACACATTTCAGGCTCGGCGAGTCACCAGGCTGATTGGCTCAGACGTGTGGCTATAGACACGGGGAGTGGTAGATTCACCCCGATCTGTTCCGGAAGATTTGCCACCACTTCGGATTTCTACTGGTGGATTTGTTCACAACCCCGGCAAACACCCAGTTCCCAAGGTTCTTCTCCCGATTCCCAGCCGAGGCAGCAGAAGGAGTGGATGCCCTTCAGACCAAATAGCCTCTGGACCTGCTATACGCCTTCCCCCTCTCCCACCAATTCCGGGGACCTTGAGGAAGGTAGTGGTAGAGAGGGCAGACATAGTTCTGATTGTACTGCATTGGCCCAGATGGCCTTGGTTCGCGGACCTCGTCCAGCTTTTCATATCTCCCTCGTGGAGGATTCCTCAGAAGGAGATCTCCCTGTGCCAGGGAGTCCTAATCCACCCGGAGCCCCAGACTGCCTGGCACTTGAGCAGAGCCTCCTGAGGAAAGCCGTTCTGTCCTCCCGGGTCATAGCAACCATAGAAGCATCCAGGCGTCTGTCAACCACATGAATTTATAATTCCACGTGGTCAGCCTTCGTTAGATGGTGTTCCCCTCTTCAGATCTGTCCTACTGAGGCTTCGGTCGCTCATATACTCGACTTCCTTCAAAAGGGATTAGATGGGGATCTCTCCCATAACATCCTTCGGCGTCAGGTAGCAGCCTTGTCCTCGGTCATGCCCGGTGAGGGACATTTATCTCTGACTCACCTTCCTCTAGTCAAGAGATTTCTATGGGGAGCTGCCAACCTGCGACCTCCTCCCATACATTGGTTCTCCACTTGGGACCTACCACTAGTTCTCAAGGCCTTGACAGGGGCTCCCTTCGAGCCGTTGTGCATGGTTCACCTTAAGTTTCTATCCATGAAGGTGGCTTTTCTAGTCGCCGTGACTTCTGCCAGACACATTTCTGAGTTGGGGGCTTTGTCATCCAAGGATGACCTTTGTCAATTTCACCAGGATAAGGTGGTCCTTTGTTTGGACACTACTTTCCTCCCAAAGGTCAATTCACCCTTGTTTGGACACTACGTTCCTCCCAAACGTCAATTCACCCTT